CTGATACCAAGGGCTTAAGTAGAAAGCAAATGTTTTGAGAATGATGAGGGCAACAAATGTACAAATGTGCTTGACACGCAATGGATGTATGTATGGATTGTGATAAGAGTTGTATGAGCCCCAAATAAAATTATTTTAAAAATAAAAATAAATGCTTAGCATTCCACGACAGAGCTCCAAAAATACAGGAAAACAAGCTCTAATTGTATTGAAAAGGGAAATACTTCAGCAATAATTGGAGAAGACTTTCAAAGAAGGAAAGGCTTGAGGGTGCTGTCAGGTAAGCATTGGGCTGCTAACCACAGAGCTGGGTGTTCAAACTTACCAACCACCTCATGTCAGAGACAGGAGGCTACCTGCGCTCATAAATAGTTGCCACCTATGAGACCCTGGATAGGGCCCCTCTGAGTTGGAATCACTCAAGGGCAGGGGTTTGGGAGGTTGTTTATTTTTGCTTTGTTTTGTGTGCAAAGTAGGGCGATTCCAAGGACACAACAACCAAAAAGGAACTCAACAAAGATACAGAAAATCGAAATGACAGGAACAGCCTGACCTCATACAACACTCCACTCAACAGCTACACTTTCTTCTCTAACATACCTGTATAACTCTCCAGAAGAGACTATGTTTTAGGGCTCAAGAAGTAAAAAACAAACTCGAAATAATTAAAAGTACTTTCTCTGATCACAACACCACAAGACTAGAAATGAATAACAGGAAGAATGAAGGAAAAATTAAATATGAGGAAATTGAATAAGCCCTTGCTTTAAAACCATGCAATAGAAGAGATTAAAATGAAAGTGAAACACTAAAAATAAAATTATAGATCAATATTCCTCATTGATCTAGACACAAACATTCTCAACCCAAGTCTAGCCAACAGAAATCAAGAGCATATCAAGAAAGCAATAAATCATGACCAACTGGGCTTCATACCAGGTCTGCAAGGTGCATCAACATTAGAAAACCAATTATCATAAAGCAAAGACAAGGACCAAGGATCGTCTCTGTCAATGAAGAATAAGACACTCGATAAAGTCCATTTCTAATTAAAAAAAAAAAAAACTCCCAGCAAAATATAAATAGATGGAAGGGAATCCCTCAACATAATTACCTAGGGCCTATCTACAAACCCAATTGCCAATGTTATTCTCAAAGCATTCCCTTTGATAACATATAAATGAAACAAGGATGCTTTTATCACCACTATTTTTCAATTATTGTACTGCAAATTCTAACTAGAGCATTAAGCCAAATAAGGTGAATAAAAGGTATACAAATTGGTAAGTATTAATTGAATTGTGTTCCCCCAAAGTATACATTAACTTGCCTAGGCCATTATTCACTGTGCTATATAATTATTCTCTATCTTGTGACCTGAAATCATTATCCGATGTGCTTCACTACACTTGATCTTAGCCCAAAAGCCAAGAGGCAACATCCTATGTGTTCTAGTGCTGTTAGTGAGGCAAGATTAGTGCCACTTAGATGAATGAGGCAGGTTGCAATCTACAGGATTAGGCTATACCTTGAATCAATCTCTTTTAAACAACCGAACAAGGGACCTCAGTACCACCAAAAACAAACAAGCAAACCAACCAACCCTGGGAACAAAGTGTGTATCCTTGGGACTCAGAGTCCCTGTGTTGTATGTGAACCTACTGGATTCCGGAGAAGATTGGTGTCAAGACAGAAAGATTTCCAAGGGACGACAAGACTACCGCTATTGCAAGGGTTGGAGGACCAGAGCTGGCAGAGAGAGAGAGAGAGAAGAGCAAAACCCGTCCTTCCCTGAGAGCTGGTGTTCTGAACGCAAACTTCTAGACTCCTCGACCGTGAAATGATCAGATTCCGTTTGTTAAAGGCATGGGTATGTGGTATTTCTGTTAGAACTTAGTTATAAAGAACTAAGAATTTGGTTGCAGGAGAGTGAGGTGCTGCTAAAATATGGAAGCAGTTCTGGAACTTGCTAATGTGTAGAATCCAGAAGAGCTTTCAGGTACCTAACAGTAGAAGCCTAGATTCTGTTGAAGAGAATGTTGGTGGAATTATGGGCAGCAAGTGTAATTTTTGATGACAGCACAGAAGGAAATGAGGAATGCTGCAAGGCTGGAGATGACACAGACAGTGTGGGAAAAGTAGAAGATAAATAGTAACAGTCGTACTAAGAGGCTGGCGTGCGATGATGTGGGAACCAACCCAGGAAGCGAAAGAGCACAATGCCTTCAAGCAAGCTTACTGGTGGAGCGCAAGGGCCTTGGGAACTTCTCAGTGGGGTTAGGCTGGCCGACACATGCATGGAGCAAGAATCTAAGCACCATCCTGCTGAGGCTCAGTGGCAGAGTAGGGTGCCTCCAGGCATTATTGGTAGCGCTGAAGGGCTTTGTAACTCTTGACTGCAGCAGGGCAGCGGTGGTGCTGGCCTCTCTCAGAAGTCGTCTTAAATCACTAAGGAACTAGGAAACAGAAGAGATAAGGACCATCGGGAACAGATCTGCCTCAGTCTCAAAGAGTGGGATCATGATTTCTGGGGTCTGAAAGAGTGGAACCATGACAACTTAGCCCTTAATGTATCAAGGGGTCACTTGGGTGGGGGGGTTGGTGGTGGAAGAGGAGCTGTTACAAGGGCTCAATAAAAAGTAAATGTCTAGAAAAGAATGATGGCAACATATGTACAAATATGCTTGGTTACAATTGATGTATGGATTGTTATAAGAGTTGTAAGCGCCCCCAATAAAATGACCTTTTAATTTAAAAAATAAATGACATTTTCACCCATCAACACTTGAAAGAGATCTTGTACCAATCTGCCCAATGCAATGGGGTCGTTTGAGTTCTCGACTGTTTCTTCCATGAGCTTTGTGGATCCAAGTAAAACGGAACCCTGGACACCTTTGAACTTTTCTCCGTTTTGTCGCGATCTCGTCTATTGTCGTGAGGATTTCTGTTGGTGACACTGATTTACTGTAGTCCTTGATCTTCGTCCACCGAACACCTGAGCCTCGACAAGATGAATGGTACCCGGCGGCTGCAGTTGTGGGCTCAAGCCGAAGCGCAATCGTGAGCAGGGCCGTGGCGCTTCCTTCTTACAGGGTCGCTTTGAGTCGAAACAGACTCCAGGGCGCGTGGCGGCAGCAGCAGCCACAGAGTCAGGCGCATGGCGACCCCATAGGGTGTATGGCTGTAAATCTGCACGAGGGCCTACGGTGTTTGAGCTTCCGGAGCTTGCCGCTGGCGGCCGGTGCTTACCCTACAGCGACACCAGGGCGCAAAGGTCCGATCCAAAGCCCGGTTTCCAGACAGACTGCTCTCTGGTCTACGCGGAGCCACCGGGAGGCTTCCCAGCCGAGGGGTACGGATCGGGGTCCCGGAAAGCTGTCGCCTCGGGGGGCAAACGGAGACCGCACTGGGGAAAGGGACCTTACAGGAGGGAGGCTGTCGCCATGTCTGGGCCAAAGCGGGCCAAAGCGACGGCCAATGGGAGGCGCCGGCGGCTCGGGTTCTGGGACTGTAGTTCTGGGGTGGTTCCCCAGAACTCGGTACCCGAGTGGACCGAGCAAGGGCTCCCTGGTCCTGGATCCCAGCGTGTCCTGTCCTGCGGTGAGCCGGGTCCGGCGAGGCTGGGGCCGAAGGCGGCCTTGGCTGGCAGGGGTGGTCCGGGCGCCCAGCCTTGGCTGTTCCACTTCGGGTGGTTTTGCAGAAGGGCTCGACTCTAGACGCGCACGGCGGGGAAGGCGGTTGGGTAAGACGCAGCCTTCAATTGCTTAGCACTCAGGGGACCTTCCATCCCCTGGATGGGACTAGGGCGAGAGTGACAGGGACTTCTGTGATCTTGTTTGAAATGCTGGGATTTGCCAGGGAGAAACAACTCCCTGGTTGAGAAGCATGGCTCGGACGAGCATTCCCGGCTGGCTGGGGTTACCTGGAGGCGTTCCGCCCGGGGCAGATCCTCGGTGGCTGGGTGTGCTGACAGGACCCTAAAGCCCTGAGGATTGGGGCGCAGTGTGCTTGACTACCTGTCCCTACAGTTCTTGGCAGGCCATGCTGGAAATCCAGGGGGTTCATGTACAGATCGGGGTTCGTT